AGCAGGCAATTATTTTGGGCGGAGGGCCGCTTATCCAGTTTTGGCAAGCTGTCGAGGGCCGCATGGGTAGCCCTGCTCCCTTGTAACCATCTTGGGACCAATGTCTCAGGGCCAGTGCTGGTGGGGGCCAGAGTGGGGCGCAGGCTGGCAGGGGTCTATGGAGCTGGGTTGGGCTGCACCAGCAGGAAGAGGGGGGAGCTGGCCCAGGGTGGCAAGCAGGGCGGCCACAGCTCAGCCCCAACGGGTGAGCCCAGAGCCGACGGGGGGCTCAGGCTGGCAGCAGAGGCAGGTTACAAGCTGGTGCGGAGCACGGGGGGGAAAAGTGGCCCCTCGCCTGCCCCATGCCCACTGCCCCACACTGCAGCCACTCACAGCCCGTGTGGGGCTGCCTGTGCCTGCTCAAGGCAGCCCCATGGTCTGCAAGCAGATGCAGCAGGGAGCATGGGTGATGGGGCAGGTGAGGGGCTGTTTTCCTACCCCCGTGCTCCGCACCAGCTCCTTCTCTGCCCTCCCCACCCCCCACCGCTTACTTGAGGTTCTGGCATGGGGCAGCCATGTGGTCTTGGCTGGGGGGCAGGGCCAGGCAGGGCCCTGCTGTTGTGGGGTCCTACTGCCCCTGGTTCCTGTCATTTTTGACAGGAACCAAGGACAGAGAAATATTAATTTTCAAAAAATTTTAGGGCCCTATGGGCTGTATTTTGCCCACTCCTGCTCTAGCAGCTAAAAGCCCAGATCATCTACAACACCCTACTTGATCCATGGGAGTGAATGTCCTTGACTGTGAGGAATCACTGACAATGATGATGAAAAGCCCAGGGAGGAAAGCAGAAAGTGGTTAGCTGGGAGAAAGAGCAGTCTTTGGCTAGGAAACCGACTGAAGCCCTGATAAGCTCACTATGTAGGAAGGTGTCAAAGGTTAGGCCTCCTCCTGTGGCCTGGATAAGAGCTAAAGGTTTTGATTTGCATGTTTGTTTTTGGTGCAAGAATTATTGTTTATCTTAAGAGGACTGGCTGAGGGACTTCCAAAAGAGCAATGCCAACCTGTGAGGCTTCAGTCTGCTTACAGACTATCTTTTGTTAAGATAACTGGCTGAGGGGCTCCCAAGACAGCAGGCACACCAAGCCACTTATAGGTTGGTTTAATAAATTCTTGACAAAATCTCCCATGTGGTCCGTTGCTATACAAACAGTCTCCAGAAGTCCTTCAATTTAGGCATCCTATTGGTCCAGACTCTTTCAGAATTCCCTCAACCCTGGTTCACCTCTCAGCCCTAAACTGCCCACTCTTGTGAACTCTTCTAGTCTTTGTTTAGTCTCTTTTCTGCCCTCAGTAGAGACTCATGGGCCATGTCCAGATGAGCATGGATGTGCAGTATGTGATGCCACAGTCACACCTGCAGTATCACTTACTGCACATTCAACTGTTCTCTGTGCTGCAAGGTAGCAGCACAGGGGTGGGACTTTGACCCCAGAGGATCCCAGGGTCAAGAAAACCTATGTAAAAAAAAATGTGGAGCGGTGCATGCGGGGGCAGCGTGTGCCACCAAAACCTGGAGCCTGGCCAGCTGGAGCTGCACTCTGGCTGCCGGCCAGGCTCTGAGTAGCAGGATCGCCACTGCTGCAGACCCAGGAGGCCCACAGGGCCCCACATATGGCTGCTGGGGCCAGCACAGTATTGGTCCCAGCCTCCCCTACCCCACCTGTCAGAGGGTGTATGGCACAGGCATTGCTCCGGGACAAGTAGCAGCGGCACAAGGTGTGCCACTGCTTCTTGTCCTTGGGGAAACAAATATCCATGA